ACAATGCATTAATCGCCTGAAAGTCGCGCGAAATTCCGATTTCTCATGTTTGCACGTCATACGAAGATCCGTACGGGAGTCAAGTGACTATTAGTAGATCCTCCGTCTCAGTGTACAAATGATGCTAGGAACAAAAGCCGTGTTCTTTATGTAAACACCTAGTGGAATAGTTAATTCCTGCAACCGACGAGGTGAGAATGTACAGGGTTTTTCACGAGGATAGGATGTATGCGAGAAACTGCTTATATAGGATAATGAAAATTTGCATACACCGAAGACAGACCTCCACCTCACATCAAACGTAGAGCTTATTAAGGTCAAGAAAGCCATGTTAGTCGGAAGTAAAGTTTCTCTCTAACCGCCCGTCACACAACCGCATATGACGCGCCTAGTAGTAATGAAATTGGACACGGACCGTACGCAGACAATGCTACATCTCTGGAATTAAGTTCTTTTATTAAGAAGCCTCTGCTCTCGATCATACTATGCACCTGACAAACAGTCTAGCGACCGCCCCACCATCCGAATACACACGTAGGTTGACAGGTCTTCGGAGTAAAGGTACAAGCAGACAATAGACGTGCGACGTATATCTCACCATGAGTTCGCGAAAATTCTAGCAGGAATATTTGAGACTTTTTTTTAGGTGTAGATTCCTATAGACGAAAAAATTGCTAGTTTCAGTTACATGTGATAAAATGACTAGTGTTTTTCACAAATTTGAGAGAATTATTCCGGTAACGTAAAATTTATGGAAGTTGTGACATTTTCTGTGTTGTCCTCGTGCGTCGAGGTTCGATCGTGATGTCACACGACATTAGTGCAGCTACTGTGCCACCATCCATTCTTAGCGCTCAAGCTGACCAGTCGCAAAATATGTTTGTATCTTGGCTTAGGCTGCTGTGCAATAATATAGATATACAATAAATAAAATGTTTTCAGGTGGACATAGTAATAGTTAATGGTCAAATATAATATGCAAAAGATTTATAGTTTGGAACATTTATAATTAAGCCCACACGCGATCGATGCTGCAATGGTTCAAAAGTCCGAAAACATGGTCAAAGTTTCACGTTTTCCAAGCCGCTGATATGGTATCCTTTTGGTGGATTTATTATAGTGTATGTCTTCATAAAAATGTTTTGAGATCCAATTCAAGTTTCAGACATTTTCAATGTATCTAATAAAGAACTTGATATCGATTGTTCAAAAATTGAAATAGTGTTCTAATATGGCGACTATGTTTGCAAAACTTGTGATCGCGCTCAAAATTAAGCTCCAATGAATGAATTAAATACCGATTCTTGGAAAATCTGAATGGCGGATCCAGTATGATGTCCATCTCTTCAGAACATTTGTCGATTGCACGAAAAATACAGTTTTATGTGTTTTCAGGGTAATTCATGTATGATTGTGTTACGTCACGTAGTTGCTAAGCTTGCAGCCAGCTGCAGCCAAAATTAACATATTTTTTAATTGGTGATCTGATAAAAATGCTACTATTCTAAGTAGAGCAGACTCTAGTGGGTCCTTTTGACCTCTTTTTTAATTCAATAAGTTCGGAATAAATATCGATTCCATATTGTGGTCGTATAATGTCATCGCAACTATGCACATCTTCGACTCTACAACCCACTTAGCCACACCTCAATATAGCTGATTATTTTAAAACGTGACACCATTCGGTTATACACATTTTTTGGACCTTCAACCAGGTATTTTTGGTTCTTGAACCATGCCTATGCATCTGCACGTCGACACACACAACGCTCAAGGAGTATTCCGCATTCACTATTAGAATATCCAAATTATCTCGAAATAAAAGCAATAATCAAATCTATCATCGTTCTCGTTTACACCAATTCGGTTATTTATCCATCATATTACACTTATTTTGATCATTTTTATCATATTGTCTAAAAACATAACATCGAAATGATATTTACAGAAGGACAAAGACATTACAAGAAGACACATTTTATCGTCTCTGTCCCTGTACATTAACCTGCACTTTCTGTTTATTCTATGTTTTCCTTAAAAACATCCTCATTGTCTTGATCGATTTCTATTGAATCATGATTCATACGACGTTTGTGCTGGAAATAGACCCGACATAAACTAGTTGATGACAAAATTGCATGAGAAGTACAGAGTCAAGATATTTGACGCCATTTTCAGTGCGTATAAAATGTATAAGGGAAATTAAAAGCATTCATAACTCACGCTGACAACTATACTATTCGTTGCCGAGATCTTCAGTGGCTTCTGCGGCACAGTAGTTGGATGGTGATGACTCGGAGCACCTTCATTATGAAGCTTAAGTGGGGCCGCTCTGAGGTAAGTTGCCAACGTTATTGAACGAAACCAAAACTGTTGCCATTAGCCACCAGAAACACCACACCACTAAGTAAGATTTTGCCATTTTATTGTAATAGCTGAAAGTTATCCTGACATCTCGCTGATCAATCTGAATGTCCAAATGAAACTGCAAATGTAGAAGTAAAAGTTGGCTCACAAAATATTATGAGAAGGGCAAAGACGACGTCGAAACGCCAGTAAACTTTCACTTCTACATCTGCAATTAGATTTGGGGGGTAGCAGAACACTCAAGTTTCCCATTTTACAGTAAGCGGCAAACTAGTGACCACTAAGTTTCCCTTGTCGCAACTTAAAATTTCCACCGCCTACCAGCATCCCAATGAATGTCGGTTACGCCGTGCGATGCAGAACTCCCCTACGTCGAGGCCACTTTGACCCTTTGGCGCTAATTGTCCAAACAGGCAGTAATTAGTATAATTGGAGGACAAGGGAATCACAACGCAAGCCACGTTTCAATTTACGCTTCGATTGTTTTACTCTTTTTGCATCTATTTGGCCTCTATGTGTCTCATTGGCTGAACAGATATTTCATTTGAGCTATACAGGCATTCAGCACGCTTATTACGGGACTGCAAATGATAGCGATAGTGTTTTCAGACGCAATCTGACACTTGTGATCGCTTTTATTGCAGTGCATTCAAATTCGCTCCGCTACGCGCCGCCAGGGCACACTCGCCCACTTCTGGCTATTAGCTCAGCTCGGCTGCGCTCTCCTCTTGAGGTAAACAGCTGACATTAGGGAAACCAAAGAGGCTAAATGGGTGAGCGTCAGGAACCTGTTGAGTTCTGAAGATTAGATCATAAAAAGAATAAAAGGCTGATTGTTACAAATGTAAAAAGATAGTTACAAAGATATATTAGAGCGCGCCAGATAGTGATATTGTATATACCATAATATGCCCCACGTGTATTGATTAAGGGGTATGATAATGTGCCGGTTTGTACCGGGTGGGTCATCAATAAAGGACGCCGGCTGTATTTCCGCAACCAGACAAACTAGAGCTATCGGTTAAAATGTTTCATAACAAAAGTTGCCAAGACAACCTGCTGGAAATTATTTTCAGCTGCCTAAACTGCCCGCTAAGGGGCATAAATCTGACCTCAACATTAGGAATGTTGTTTTTTCGGAAACTTCATGTCCAGTGGTAGTATTATTGTAACGCCCTCGTATAACTGGAACTCTTCGACAGGTGGCCAGAATTGAGATCGGCGCTTAGGTAACCAGCATCTTGCAACCATATATGGAGTGTGATCGCGTTTCTCAACTCTTTGCGACGCAATTGCATATCTTCGTCGCGTCTGGATATGAATCTACTGCCATCTAGATCACTTCCTTGGAAGTTCGCTGCTCAGTCTCGAAAGCGCTGGAATGTTTCTCGAGTCATCGATAGGGACATAAATATCCGACCAGATGGCGGAACGAGGCAGCCACTGGCAAAGAACAGTCGAACCCGTAGACAGCGAATGTGGAATAAGGACGAAATAATAGTGTAGACGACATAGTTATAAATTTGTCATAAATTAGTTGTAAGTGTTTTGAATTAGTGCAGCTGTAATTAAAGAGAGTTTGAATATTAAAACGGTGTTTTCGTTACATTATTCAGAAAGTGCGTGAAAAATCCTATAAACCAATGAGAACCGCATGTCGTTATCTTTATCCGTTATATTTTTTTTGCAAGTTTGTAGCCCTCCCACGCTTTGCGTCATACTCAAATGGTCAGATAATTGAAATACACACTTTTCAGCATATAATTTTCCTACCTCATCTCAATCTGTCGCGCTCAAGTAAATCCCCAAATCCACTTTAGGTCTTCCGAGGATTTTCAGAAAACGGTTATGGAAGTTTAGGGTGTCTTCATAGTTGGGACTTCCCTTTACAGAGCCTATAGACCAAGCAATAATCAGCATGTTTTTTTAGTATCATATATACCAAAGTCTTTGAATAACCGAGATATTAGGTTCTAAAAAGCAATAAAGGAGCCAGTACGACCCTGCGTTCCCCCCTCCTACTATCCGCCAATACGTCAAAACGTTTGATATTGATGAACTAAGACTATGTGAGTCGGTATCCAAATCAGGCGTCGCGTGGTGTGTAGGTTAATCTAGTTTATTGACAAATTTAGGAAGGGGTAAACAAACTCGTGTTTTTGAATCGTACAGCGACATTTTCAAGCTCTGTTTACGAACAAGACATGGGCAGTACTTGACATTCCTTGCCAAATTAACAGTGTGTATTTTTTTTAAATTATTTTTTATTTTTTTGGTGTTGTTTTGCCGCACATTAGCTGTGATATTGCAAAAGTTTTTGACTCTGAAAAGGAAAGTCCCAACTTTTAGGACACCCTGTATGTTTACGCTGCATTGCTTATCGCCAAAATTTTATAGCTTTAATGAGTACATTTGACAAATTCGACTACGGTATCTGTAATGCCATGTGAATCGCTCAGTCATTGTTAAACTATCAGGTGACCAAATAAGTTCGTGCGGTTTTTATAAGAAAAATATAAATTTTTATTGAGAAACAATTATGGTGATAATCACTGGGCAAAATGTCGGGAGAATATGGCGGGTGCGGTAGCGTTTCCCAGCAGAGTTCAGAAATTTTTTCTCGGGTCACTTTCCGGTATGAGGCTTGGCGACAACCAATGATATGAACGCTTAGAATTCGAATACAAAATCCATTTTTCGTCGTAGGTTAATAACCGATTAAGAAATGCTTCATTAGCGTTGCGTGAAATGTTTGCTGAACAAATGGTAAGATGACTTAATGTGTTATCATTTGTTAGTTGATGTGGGACCCATTTGCTTAACTTCCACGTCTTTCCTAGTTGATGAAGATGCAAACGAATAGTTTCAGGACTCACTCTGAACATTTCTGCAAGTTCTTGACACATTGTCCTGGAATTTGCGCCCACAACCTGTCGAAGATCCTCGTTGTTCATGATTTTTGGTCTCTCTAAGCGCGGTTCATCGCTCAAACTGAGATCTCCCGAAAAAATTTTTGCGGTACATATTTTTCGCGCCGCCGCTGCAGCCTTTGTACCAAGTTTGTACTCATACAGTAAACAACTCCGAATTACTGTTTTATTCGTCGCAATTTTCCATTATTAAAACTAGGTATGTAACAATTTTCAACAACTTTTTATGTGTGTGAGAAAAGAAGGATTCATATTAAAGTGACAACAGGTAACAAACAATCCCTATCGATCAACAACATCCATGGCAATGTGCGATATGCAGTAACCGCACGAACTTATTTGGTTACTTCATAAATGACAGAAAGAAACGAAAGTAAATATTTGTTAGCGGTGCAGCATATGAACAATTTTGCTTGATCCCTGATTTATTAAGGTGATTAATATGATACATTCTCTCCATCAAACAGCAACAAAACTTATATTTCAATTAACATATGACCCCTCCTAGTGAAACAAATAAGTCTTAGTACGCCGGATTTAGTGAGATATGAGGGATGATTGTCAAGGTAGTCCTTTGGGTGCTACTCGGTCCTTTTCTTTATGTGATCCATACAGCCAACAGCATATGCGCTATATGGGCGAGCTGCCAGAAGCGGTTAACAACATTGTCAAATATGTGGGCGAAGGCAGATGGATAGTGGTTTAACAGATTTTGAGGCACGAGTATACGTTCCAGGTTGAGTAACAAAGCACATCAGAAACGCGATTAGAGCCAGGTTGTAAAGGAGAAAAAGTGGCATTATTAATGTACAACTTATGTTGAAATCCCACTACAGTATATAAATATAAAAAGATTTTGCGAAACTTCAGTTTTTTCCGACTCTTCGGAAGAATTTCGAAACCTTCTGAGCGACATTATGTTAGTTACCTAAATACTCCCCCATTTAAGCGACTTTGTATCGGTTACTGTTTCCGAGATTCCAATGGTGGCATGTCGCCATTCTCACATACCACAACACATATTGTTTTTTAAATAATCCCATCTTCTGTTGTGAGCGCTCCGTCATCTATATCTGTTAGTACTAATGATTGCTAGAAGGCATGAAGCAATATTGTATACGGCTCGTTATATTTGCAGAGATTGGAAATGCATACAGGTCCTATTTAGCCTGTGTTTAGTTAATGCAACTTTTGCATAGAACATCAAAGCTGGTTGCATGGTGAGTACTAAGAATTTTCCTACGTGACAATGGGGCGCCTAGGTAGTTGGACGTCCCTGTTCGGCTTCATAGAAGCAAACATTGTTATTCAAAGATGGCGGAAAACTGTAGTTACCTGCTGTCTTAGAGATTTTTAAAACAACTTTTTTCAAACAAATCCCATACATTTTCGCTCCGACCAGTGTTTTTTTTGGGAGATTTTGAACAATAGTGATTTAGAGCTTTTCCCTAAAGTTGATAGTTTTCGACATATAAGCGACACAATATCTGAAAAAAAGCGACCCCGACACAACACGAAAAAAAATTGATATTATCAATGTTACTAAATATTGACAGTCCGCCGCGGCTGGCGGCCGCCCCTACATGATCATAAATCTTGCACTCAGACAAAGCATTCACTGAGCGCGCGCTTGGTTAACAATTAAACAAAAGGTTCACAATAACAATACATCCCAGCTACTTTATTAATGGATGTCTGAGGAATATTTGGGAACATTGGAAACATTAACTTATTGTTTTTCGGGGTGGAAAATGGCATATGTCGCACTTTTTCAAATATTGTATCGCTCTATCTCGGAAACAATCATCTATGGAGAAACATCTTATAGTAACTTTTTTGTTCAGAATGTCATATAAAACCTAAGACACCTCGACCGGAGCAAAAAAAATTTTAGAATTTTCTTAAAAAAATTGTTCAAAAAAGTGTTGATGCAAATTTGAGCCTGGCAATGTGCAGACTGGTTAAAACGGGCACTTTTTTAATGAGATGATGAAAAAAATCCGAATTAGAATATTTTTCCTATCAGATGCGAAGATATTTCCAGGACTACGGTGACCTTCTTCGCACATGAAGCTTAAAATATCTGCATATGATTGCGCACTAAGGTTTTTTCCTAAAACTGTAAAAAAGAACAACACTATCACATCAGAATAAAAGATATTATACTTAGCGGTGTTGATGACTTTTGAGTAAAGGCTGATCCATTTTTATCGATAGGGGATACATAACAAATATTTAAATAATAATAACAGGGCTTTATTCACACAGTACAGAGTAGCACACGTAAAAAGGCGAACTGTCAGCATAGCTGTTTTTCAAGTTAACCCAGGTAAAAACCATCAAGATTAAACATTTGCACAACTACACACCATAGGCTACAAAAAAAACAAACAATACAATAAATATATAAATGATAATAATCTAATAATATTTTATAAATTTGAATGAGAAATATTTCACGAAAAAAAGAAGTAAATAAGTATTACAAAGCAGGATCAACCATGTCATAAGCCTAATTCATAGCCAGGGGCTAAGTAACTACGACATCAACTAACTGTTCAGCAAGTACCTCAATCTTTTTTTGAAGTCGATAAGGGACAGGTCTTTAAGATCATCTTGCAAGGAGTTGTACAGCTTAGCGGCACTATAGGAAAAGCTTCTGACAAAGATTGCCGTGGTGTGACGAGGAATAAGTAGGGTATGCCTACATCGCTATTGACTGCGATTCGAAAGCGGGCGTAGCTTGTTCAACAAATACACAGGGGTCTTGTTATCAATGACCTCGTGAACAAGTGTCGCTAGGTGTAGTCTTCTCAAGGCATCTAATTTCAACCGTCTACACTCTTTAAACTTGGGACTTATATGGTCGAACTTTCGAACACCAAACGCGAATCTCAATCAAGAGTTCTGTACTCGCTAGATATAAAGGACTCGCAAAGTTTAAGTTTAGTATCCCAAGGAAGTAAGTGACGACTAGGGAAAAGTTGTTTCAAATAGGCATATGATACCTGACATAAGTAAGTGACATTCGAAGTAAATCTTAATTCGTTATCAATTCACAATCCTAGGTTTTTGGCTTCATTTGCAACAAATAGCTGTTCGCCTTGTATTCTAATATTAATCCAGTCTTTAGCTAAATTTATCTTTACCTTGCTACCAAAAAAAACATGACAATCGATTTTTTGGGATTGAGTTTCAAATTGTGTGCAGCTGAGATTTCATATAATGCATGTAAATCACTATTTATTCTATTTTCAGCATCGAAACAGTCAGGTATCGGAAAACTTATATAGTTGTGGGTGTCATCCGCATAATGATGGATAGAACAAAAATTGACGATTTTACAAAAATCAGATATGTATATACCAAAAATAAGGGGCCTTAAAATGGAGCACTGCGGGACTCCATAGGTTTTAGGAAGGGACTTCGAATAGTGACCATCACCTAGTACACTTTGCAAGCGGTCTGATAAATACGATTTAATGAAGTCAGCAGCGGGGGTTGAAAATCCATAATACCTTAGCTTCTCGTGTAGTGCTATGCCGAGATCGAAAGCCGGATTGAGTGGAGGTAAGTATGTCATGTTCGACAACGAATAATGAGATCTGTTCTTGCATTGTATTACGTCTCCCAAATTCGACGATGTTCAGGAGTTTTTAAAGGAAACGACCCGCTCCGTAACAACGGTCAATTTATTGTTCTATTTTATTACGAATGTAAAAATGAAAACGATCCGCTGCGCAACAACGCTCGATTTTTTTCTGCCCCATATATCTACATGTTTTTGTCCGGTACCACTTCTGTGTGTACCTATGATTCAGCGTCTAATCTTCTCCCAGTGCCGTCCCAGGATACGCTGCACTATTTTTCCGTAACATTTGCCATTTCAAGGAGCCTAGAGATAGGTGGTAAAATGATTATTGGTCTAATGTCACTATAATAATGTTTAGCTGTATTGGATTCATATTAGTCGCCTATAGATGATATGGAGCAGACGTGTGTGTAGGTGCTCCGAGAAATACAACAGAAACTGTGAGTTTTTACCACTGTCCGATTCAAATCTGTTAGAATCTAGCTGCAATTGACAGAATCGAATATAATTGTATAAAAGTGAAAAATGCCTACAAGATAAAGTCTGGCAGATTTTGAGCAGACTTTAGTAGATACACTAAAAAGGAAGAACGTTGCAGAAACCATTTCCAATATCATTCTTGAAACAGTTACCTCTGCATTGAACGATAAATTTAAATAATACGATGAAAAAATTGCACAGTTAGAAGCAGAAATAGTAAATTTAACAACAAATTTCAATGAATCTACTGGTATGTCAAAAGAAAGTGGCCAAAAAACTATGGAGCAAAAACTAGACAGCATTCAACAACATATGAAGAGTAATAACTTGAGGCTGATACAAATTCCAGAGGCGGAAGAAGAAAATCTTACTGACAAGGTTTACGATATTTTCACCAATAAAATGAAAGTGAATATTAACAAATCGGAGATAACTGCTGTCTCTAGGGTTGGTCGCCGTAGCGATACAAAACCTAGGCATGTTTTTGTATCGTTTACTGACAATGCGATTAAGATGGCAACGTTTGGTTTCAGGAACGTGTGGACGGTTAATGGCAACATTTTTGTAAAAACTGACAAGGTAGTGGAAAAGTATAGTGTGAATGAATAGCTGTGCGGTATTGGGGTATTTTTTTCAACTTTGGTATTCTTTGAACATGTATGTATTGTTAAGATTCATTACATATATTTTGTTTTTTTGCTATTTTTATATAGTCTGAATATAGATATACAGTTGATTGCATTTAGCGATGGATTTTTTGATTGGATACCTCAATGTCTCTTCACTTGTTCCTAAATTTAATAGTTTGAGGCAACATATACTTTCTAAGAAATATGCTATGTTTGCATTATCAGAAACGTGGTTGAATGACAGTATAAGCGATCATACAGTATATATTCAAGGTTATGATCTTGTTAGGTTTGACAGAAGTACCAGGGGTGGAGGAATAGGTTTGTATATAGATAGTAAGTTGAA